GGCGTAGTTTTTAGTGCTGATCTCGAATATGATATTCGTTTTGCTCTGAAGTTGAAATAGGATTAAGATTTAAGGTCGACATTGACTGTATAATATCTCAAAACGGTGACTTTTTTACAAAGTATTGAGGAAAATGAACTTCGGAGCTGCTTTAATTTTTCCGAAAACCACATAGATCGATAGAGCGTGAGCCGGAGAAGTTTTTGATCATAGTGAAATGTTTGTCCAATTTGATTTTTAAATGCAATAATACTCCACCAAAGTTGCCTATTTAAGATAAAAATCATACCTATGCTACCTGTTTGACCCTGCATAATCTAAGAAAGAAACTTCAGTAAACATGATCAATATATCATTTTGTAGAGGATGAAAAACTGCGTTGATCTACACTATCAGTCCTCGTATTAGATTTACAAAAGAAAATGCTATGGGTACCATAGTTATTGTTCGAAATACCCAAAAGTGACATACCCCCAAGATATTTTTGTCTTTGAAATTGTTTTTTGTATTCAACAAAAAGCAAAATAAATACACTGAGATATGTAGAATTTCATGCTCTATCTTTCTAACCTATTGAAAGTGAGACATAGGGGGGGTGGCAGATTTACGATCTTATCCGGCAGGGTCCTTTCAAAATACTGAAATATTTGTTCCAAAACATCAGGGCATAAATCATGAATTGTGGTGAACTTTTCTATGAATGAAAATAAGGTAATGTAGATATATTGTATGAATACCTTTTACCTTCAAATCGCATGCTGGCTTTTATGATCTCACAACTTTCACTCTCTTTTTTTATTCGAAAGTATCTCGACCGATAATAATCCATTCCGTGTCACAATAAAAATGGATAAACCAATAAAAACTGAAATGCCAAGTGAACAAAGTTATCTGAAAGTAGCTAATATTATTGCTTCTAATGAATCAACTGTCCTCTAATTATAAAGGTGTGTATAATATAGCAAAGAAGGTATAATAATATACTGATATGGTTCTATTCGTGGCTGTTCCATTTCAGTGAAATACATATGGATTTGGTCAGATCTACAAGATGACCTTAATAATATCAAACTATTCACCCAGGAGAATGAATCCGATACTGGATCCAATCAGATCTGATAGAAACCGGCTAGCTGAAGAGATCTGATTGGGTTTCGAGAAACGGAACGAGTAGCGGATCCGAGGGAAAAAACCAATTTTATTAGTTAAGTAGGGTGTGGGTGTGGTTGTACTTGTATTTATATTTCATTCACATCCACACCCTGCTGCTGCTTTTTCTAGTGTTTGTTTCGAGAAGTAGCTTATTGGTATTGTGTCATGATAGACTTGATTGGTGATATTTTTCAAGGACTCACATACGGATGTGATTGAGGTGAAAACACCTTTAATCTTTGCCCATTCTTTTGCCCATTGTTTATGCTTTGTTTTATTGCCACAGAAAATGTAAATGGCATAGACTTTTTGCATATCATGTATCTGTGGCACCAGATGTTGACCGAAATCCCGAGAGGAGATGACAATGGCTTTTTCGTCGTTTATGTCACTCAGGCACTGAATGCAATGTGCTGAATCCTTACAGATTGTCACCTCATTGACAAAAATGCACAATTGCTTGAGTATAGTTTGACAAATCATCGTTTTTTCATCCCAGCCACTTTGAACCCAGATAAATGAAAAGTTTTGAGTCATAAATTGTCTTGATTGAGGACTTTGCAGTGACAATATTTTGCGTGAATAGTCATTTATTACTGGCATGTAGGCTTTCGGTTTGCTTTTTCGTTCATTAATATTAAATACAGATCGTCACTTGCTTAATGATCACGAACGCGACAAGCTGTGGTGACACAAAAGGGATTATTTATATTTATTTATGTAGACGATGTATTCTGTCTTTGTTATCGAGTGTTCTACAAGGTCTAAGTTGTTTTTTCTATACTTATCGACAAACTTTACCTGACAGTTTGCACTCAAAGTATGATAAAGAACACCGAACGAGAGAAAAAGACGTAATTGCACAAATTACTATCCTAGTATTTATTTCAATGTTCGTTTGTTCTGCTTGTGTATATTGACTTGTGTTATGACGTCGCACATCTTATCTCATATATTACTTGATATTCTTCAACTCTTTCAGAAGGATATTCTTTTGTTTCTGGTAACAACAGAAAAAAATGAAGGCTAACGTGTGGGTATGAATATTGTGTACATAAGCGTCTGCGAGTGGTGTAACATAAGATGACTTCTCGCATTTACACACTCGTTGAACACAATAAGGTCTTGAATATGGGTCTATCATTCATATGCAACAACATTCCACAGCCATAAAATAAGCTTCACTAAGTTTTAGATTTTTTTCGATAATTTTCACTGTATGTAGGTAATTGGAAGTAGGTTATTGTTACATTCATGAGTAAAATTATATTGTCGACTTCAATTATAACATGAAAAATAATGAACTATCATTATTAATTTACTTACAATCATCCAATATAGAACATATGACTCACGAATTTATTTCAAAAAAATATAAATCTACAGAAAAAAGAAATTTGTTTCACAGTATTATGATTGGCAACTTCATCAGCTAATAATTCGAAAGATATTATTCCCTCGACTGTAGGGAGGGTCATATGAAAAAAAATAGTTTGTATGTGGCTTTGTGTCAAGGTCAAAATAACACAAGGTCAAAAAACATTAAAAACATGAATTTTTCTTATAAAGGTTGACGAAAGTAAATCAGAGTCGGAGAATCCGAATCTGAAGTCGGTTTCTTAAATTTTGAAATGAACTTGTTAGGTTGAGGAAAGGGTTTTTTGAGAAAATAACGATATCTTATAAAGGTTGACGAAAGCAAATCAAGGTCGGAGAAGCCGGCTCTGAGGTCAGTTTCTCGAAATTTCGAATTGAATTTTTTGGGTCCAGGAGAAAAGGTTTTTTTGAGAAAATACTTTTGTCTCGAGTGTAGGAAGGGTTATATGAATTAAAATAAATTTTTGTGTGTTTTGGTCAGAGTGAAAGGTGAAATATCATAAAAAACGTTGGCTAAGTGTTCGATGCTCGTGCTTTTAATATTGAACTTTCAACCAATTTGATTTTTCAGCCTGAAAATTCAGTCAATCCGACATATATGATAAGTTCTCGCTTAATCAGCTGTTTCATAACTGGGTGCCCATGGATGAGGCTTGTATACTTCTGTCTAATACAGTCGAGGGTCAAGTGAGTCGAACCGATGAACGTTACTTGTAATCTAATACATATAAATAATCCCTGTGTAAAAAGATTTTGTACAAAAGTTTTGTGTGATTTTCAATCATTTATAATTTGCAAAAGAAAATCAAAAGTAGACCACTACAAAGAGAATTTCCTGCTCTTTCTAAATATATATTCAAAATTTTATTCCCACTGGAAGTTGATTCATTAATAGCAAATATTTGGTGGGAATAACAAACAACGTTTGTACAGAATAGTTTATGCAGTTCATTTTGCATTATTGATTGAAAATGATTCAGTCCACATTACAGGAAAGCCTTTTTACGAGTCAGTCTGCTGAACAAAGCTTACTTTACAAAATGCTCAATTTACTTCGCTCATAACACATTATTGCAAACTACCAACGTGTACTGCATTTAAAATTGACAAATACAGTAAAAAGGATTATTTTGAGAACTGTCGTCTCATATGAAAAATAACATTTCGGAAAATATTTATAACTTTTAACTCTTTTGAATTCTATCTTACTACAACCCCATAACTTCGTAGGATATTAAATTTTCTACAACTGCAGATTTTGGAAACAATCCCGGAATACTTTATAGAGATATTAAGAATAGGAAGTAAAAAGTGCGCTTACCATATTGCAAAAGACATTTTTATTTATTCAGATATTTGCTTGCAGCTCACTAGATGAGGATCAAAGCAAAATTCTAGAGATCTATTTGGAAGGAGCATTTAATTCTCATTCTAATCGGCTACATTCGATTCTTTTCGATGACATTTGTATGACTAAAAAATCAACAAACATGTGTATCAATACTTTAGGAAGTAACGTTTCGTAGAGATGTTCTTTTTGGTACTCAATAAATATTTGTCCTTGGTGAGTCACATTGAAGTCAGAATTTTATTCTGAATACATATACAGAAAGAGCAGGAAGTTCTCTTTCTCTTAAACTACTTTTGATTTTCTCCTGCAAAATATAAATGATTAGAAATCAAATAAAAATTTTGTAAGAAAACTTTTTACACAGGATTTAATAGTATTTCAATGAAATGAATAATATTTGTAAGTTTTAAGCTTGTTTCTTTTTAAGATTTATTATTCGTTTTGTTGTAATTAAAATCGTTTAAAAAGAAAATACTATAACTAATACTCAGAATCATAATGAGGTGTGGACAAAAAATTACATTGCTCTTATCCATATAAGCGTCTCAAAACAAGCAGCTACTCTATCATAGGTATGTTCACATCTACGTAGATATAAAAGATACATTGAATTAGGATCGGTTAAATGAAATTCAATTAATTAAAATAATGTCTGGATTTTGAATATGTAACAGGGTGTGGGTGGGTGTGTGAGTGTCGATGTCGGTGTGGGGTATGAGTGTTCAAGTGAATGATATCAACAACATTCACATCTACACCCCACCCACATTTTCTGCTATCATTACTCGAAAGCAATAGTGTCGGAATAGCCAAACGAAATATAGAGGATGTGAATACGGATTCGTATAGGTGGGTATCACTGTTAGCATTTTGTTAACTAGCAACCACATCCTTTTGATACTATGTTTCCCATGTCATAAAATGTTAACAGAATGATATTAAACAATCAATCAAAAGTGTACATATAGAAATGTAATTATTTGATTAGTTCAAGTCAACATTCACAGTAGATTAGAAAGAGATGATTGTTATTACGGTCGATCTAGTATGAGAATTTCTTATTTTATAATTGAATAATTATGTTTAGTTTATTACTAATCATAACAAAAAAAAAGAAAAATTACATGTGAAATTTTTTCTGTGTCTCTTTTGCTTCATGTTTAAGGAATGCTTGCTCTTCTTCTAATTCTCGTTGTTTTGTATTAAGTTCATCTTGCATTGTTTTTATTTCACGTCTTGTTTGTTGTACATCCTCTTCTTCTGTATTTAAATCTTTTAAATAACGTATCATTAAATCAGATTTATCAATTTTTTCTAATGATTTTATATTTTGTCGAATACGTTCTTGATTTTCAAATATAGATTTAATATGTGCTTCGCCTGATTTAATTTTTGTTTCAAGTTCACGTATAACTATTTGTGTATCAACAATAGTAACAGATTTATCAAATAATGATGTTGGAATTAAATCACGTTTAGGTGTCCATGTTCGAATTTGACTATCTGTTATTGAACTGTCAATCATATGTTGAAGAACTTGTTGAACATATTTATATGTAATGATCTTTTGAATTAATTCAACTGTTTTCTCGTCGATTAATTTCAATTGAATTAGCTCAGGAACTTGTTTTTCTAAGAATAATTCAAGTGCCGATGTTTCAAAAATCTTTTTACTATATTTTGCTTGTTCATCAACAATAAGTTCAATTTCTTGCTGTGGTTCAAGTTTTAATTCAAAACGGCTGAAACCCATAACTGATTTAATACAGTTCTTTTGTGTTGTTACAACATAACCACCTAATGATCGATCAGCAACATGATCAATAAAAAACTTAGCTATAGGTCGATCTAAAGAATTATTTTTAATTAAATAACGTGTACGTTTTAGATAAATTTGTTGAAGATCAATGCCAGTTGGAACAACATTTGTATTGATTTTATCAAATTCAGTGTAAATAATATCAACACTTTCTGTATGAACTTCTTGAAGTGCTATTGGAGTTGTACGAAGAATCGATACGGTCGAATCAAAACCATAACTATAAGATATGAAAATTAGAAAATCAAAAAGAAACAATACACAGAAAATATTTTCTTTAAATATACTTAATCAATTGATCATCGTTTGGCAACATTGGTGTAAATGCACCTTGAGCAACAAAACGTCCATTATCCAAAACAGCAATACTTCCTGGTGCTAATACAACATCACTACTATTTCTTAAATGAACAGCTTTGATTGCATTTAAATCATTCATTTTCGGATCATAATAAAGTACTAATTGTGCATCCATTTGCCATTTATTAATTGTTACTAGAATACTTTCATGTGATCGAATTGTAACTGGTGTATTAATTTTATAAACAACATTTTCACTGAGACCACTCATTTGACTTGAATCAATCGATTCATATCTTTCATCATCATCAATAACAACACTCTTATTATTAATGGATCTTTTCTTTTTTATATGTATTGATTCACATTCATCGCCTAGACTACCACGTAATCGAAGTACCAAATGTAAAGTAGACTCTATATAAAAAACAAACATATGGAACTTATTTATTATTATTTTAATATCCATAATTACCTTTTTGAATATTATAATCAGCTAATGTTCTTCCATCTTCTAATTGTTTCCCAGCAAATACTAGACGTTGTTGATCTGGAGGAATACCTTCTTTATCTTGAATTTTAGACTTTACTTTTTCAATTCTATCCGATGGATCGATCTGTTATTGGCAAAAAAAACGTAATAGATAATCAATCAATAAATTCTTCTGTATACACACGTCTATCGTAATTGTTTTACCCGTCAATGTTTTGATGAAAATTTGCATACTACCTGATGAGCTTCGATCATTACCTTCGGCTTCTTCACGAACAATAGAAGTCATAAGTGTTGCTTTATTATTATTCAAAATTTCAAGTTCATTAGCAACAAGTATGAGTTCAACTTGAGACCAATCTTCATCTGTTGGATTATTAATTGAACCAAATAAAGTTAGATCAACTGTTGAACCATTACTATTTGATAACGATGAATCAATTTCACATCGGTATAAACAGCGCCATTCTTTTGTTGGATAACAATATGATACTTTGAGTGTATTTGATTCATCAATAATATTTGTATTTGTAATAGCCAATTTCGGAGATGTTAATAAATTATCACTATGAAAAAAAATTTGAACATAATTTAAGTCTGTATTTAATGATGGTTTATGACTATCTAATGTTTTTGTTAGGACTTTATCGAGTTGTGCTTGTAAATATACATCATTAAGTTTAATGCTATGAATAGAAGCAACTAATTAAAATAAATAGATTTTAATTATATTTTATTTGTAAAAATTCAGTTTCCTTTTTTTATTACTTACAATCAAAATGACGAATAAATCCATCTTTATTCAAAATTTGAAGAATATAATGCTGTGTTGTTACAGTTGAATTCGGACTTAATAATGTTTTCATTTCATCAAGCATTACCAATTTACTTGCTTATTCTTTATCTTCACCTCGAATAAATAATATTAGTTCAGTTCCAATACATGTTTTAAGAAAACTAGCCAATGAAGTTGATGATGACAAATCATTGAAGTTAAAATATTGCTCAATTGTATTTTCGACAACATATTTATCATGTTCCTCTGTATCAAATGTTACTGTACTAGCTGTTGTACATAATGTATCTATTACTAATTTCTTATGCTTCTTAGCAACACGAATATGTGATTGTAATTTTGAACATGAGATTGTTCGTTCAAAATACCCTAAATCATTTTTATATAAAGTAATACGTTTTAACGGTATGGTTTCAGTTGACATTATTTTGAAAAGTATAACGATGTCGGTGGTAGAGAAGAGAAATGAGAACGAAAAAAAAACAAGTAATAGCTTTGCTTTATCGCTTCTTACATGTGTACTTTAAGAATGTCAAAATGTGGTGTAATTCATATACACAAACAGGCAATACAGAATAAGAAAAAAAACAGCAACAACCCTGGTTGTCGAGCAACATTATGAATCAGTTTTTAGGTATCTTAAGTGAAGTGAATGCGGCATTTGTATAAATTACTAGTATGCTGTATTCTCAAACTAGCGAGAACCCGTGCATACTGCACGGCAATACTTTTTCTTTAACATACGCTCTCAAAACTCTAGTCTTACCATCTAATCGCTTCACATCCTGATAGCGTTTCCCTTTATCGCTCTTAAAGAGCACTCACCCTTACAGTCTTAGTGCGTTATATCCATACTCTCTCGTTGCATCTCCCTTTTTACCTTATTCCATTATTTCCTTACCTCTTTATACTC